AAAAATCGGTACAGCGGCCCTGTGCACACACAGACACACACAAACACAGAGACAACCTCTCGTCAGTATGGGTTTTTCGCATTGCATAGGTGCAAAGAACGCATAAAAATGGTAGTGCATCTGCCTTCTTCTCTCTCCCTTCCCCCTCTACAATCGTTACACTGTTTTCGATTTTGCTACGAAAAGTTTGTTTAACGGCAACGTGACAAAAAATGTCAGTTCTCAAAATGAAGATTAGCAAATTATAGTGGCAGGCGAAAGTGTTTGAGCTCGAAGGTATGATTGCCGATCGAGATCGTGCAATCCGAGCGCAGCAGCAGTGCATCAGCAAACTGAAGCAGTCGCTTGTTGAAGTAACCGAAACAGGGTCTGGCGACGACTCATTGCTGCTGCTTGACTCGCAAACCAAAACTGACTCATCCTCACCTGCACACATAAAGCGCCTTCTGCTCCAGTATCTCACCAGGTCAGTTTTCTGACAACATTTTTCAAAATATCGGTGGCAACACAGCAAAGTCGTATTCGAAGTTTGATTTTTTGAAAGAAGTGTTTGAGGAAGATAGCTTTCTTGGCAAAATGTTCAGATTATTTAGCACCTAAACACCTATTGTCGTTTCCCGGCATGAACAAGCACCAGCGAGCACAAATTCTGGTATTTGCGGCTATGTTGGTTTTTTTTTTCTTGCGGAGAGTAGAAACGAAGGAATTGGGTGCTTACAGAGAAAAGGGGCACCGCAGGGGAAAAAAAAGGTCGGCTATCCATTTAAGAGCGAAAAATAATTGATTATAGCCAAATTTAGCTGCGATGAGGAGTGTATGCAACTTTTACCGACAGTATCAAGTGCACTTCATCTCTCCGATGAAGAGGAACGTGAAGTCTGGGCCAGCTTAAGAAGCAAACTTCATATTTCCTGAAAACCGTTTATTTTGTTGCATAGTTTCCCGCATGATGCTTGCAACTACAGATTTCCTGAATGGAACTCGTAAGCTCTAGGTTTCCTAAATCTTTTCCTAAATTTCATCTTCTACACAGTTGATTAAGTTACCAAACTATGTGCGTTTTACTATGGAAAATACAATTTGTTATGGCTCATAAATTCCATGTGGCAAATTGTTCCTATCGAAAGTCTGTTTCAAAAAATTAATTGAAGCTAATTTCAAGAAACCGAATTAGAAAATAACCCTTAGTTTCATTTTTTCCAGATAGCTGTATTGATTTGATGAACGGAAAGTTATTGCCGTACAACATTTAATTAAATGAAACCACAAAATCTATCAATTCTAGGATGGCCGATCATGCGTCAAGATTACCAAGAAGTCCCTTCCACTCTTTTTTTTTATTTTATAATTCAGTAAAAGAAATATCTATGCAGTAAAATTTTACTCTGAGCTTATCAATAAAAGAATAATTTTTCTGGTGGGCATTTCCAGAGCAGCTCACTCCTTGCACAGGTTATTCGTCTGGATGGAGTTTTTCGGACTGTCGGAACTCGAGTTTTTTCCAGAATTGCTAACGATCTCGAAACAGTTTCTTATACAGCACAAGTCCAGCTGATTACTGCTTAGGAATAAATTTGCGTTTTCCACAATATGAAAATTAGAAAAATTAGTGCCATAAAAAAAGAAAACAGAATATAAGAATACGCATAACTGAGCTTAACAGTGATCGGAGGGAAACATCAGTTAGTCTTGTCTTAGCACTTCCACCAATCTTCCCATTCCCTAGTTCTCCCTTCCTCTCTCTTCCATTTCCACGGATTATCATTCATAACATCTATCTTGCGGAAGTAGGTGGTGCCCAACTACACTTACTGTTGTGATTTCATGACACACTGGTACATGTCAGAGAACGAAGCAAACAACAATAACAAGAAAGCAACAACTGAGTAAAAAATTCATCTGTCATATCAGCACTGGGTCTTTTGCTGGTGAAGCTTCCGGATACTCATTGAGCGACGTTGCTTTAAACAGCCAAGTGATAACAGATCACGGAAACATCGTCGAAAATCATTATTGTACATTGTATAAATGATTGGATTCAGTACCTGAAAAGCGTCCCAGAAGTTTGGGAAGCAGGCTGGAGTAATAATAGCAACAAATGGAGCCAATGCTAAAGAGCTGGAGCACCACTGCCTGGAAGCACAAGACGCAGAACGCAGCAGAAGATACTGCTGAAAATATGAAATTGTAAATTAGAGGCAGTTCAAAAGCTAAAAGCGTAAAATAGACGTTGAGAGGAAGCAAGAAAAACTTACTGACATTAGAGACGAGCAAACCTGTGAAAATTAAAGCTGAGAAACAAGTGTCAGCATTTTAATGATGAAGTGCGACACAACGTTAAAGAGGAAGCACAGTTTATGATTAGTCCAGTGCTGGTAGATCCGAAGGCGATTGTCTCGAAACGCTCAAAGAAGCATTTCTTGGGCAGCGTGCAGTGGACTTGATAATCAGTAGAACAACTACAGCTCGTAGTATTAATGGGAACCAAATGTTTTACGAAATTCGCTGCTGATTCCTAGGAGTCGAGTTAGTAACCGGTCTAGAAAAGTCCGCTAACCTTCGGTTCAAGCAAACACTACATCACGCACCTCATTTAACAACAACAACGATTACCTGATATTTGTACGGTCAATGATAACCCAGCACGAAGCTTTTCAGTTCTAAAACGAAAAACGCGTTTTGAAACGCATTAGTTCAAGCCTGACTGTTCGGCATGAAGTAAATATGCAAATTTTTGTTATTCAAAAAATCCAGGCTGGAACGCACCAGGCTCCTCGGTGCGATCATACGTTTTTGCACTAAACTCGCAGATCACTATTAGCAGGAATGATCGCTACGCTGTAGCCTAACACTCGGGCTAATATTGGCTGTGCTTTGATCCTTTCTGGCATGCAGGAGGAAGGGCATCAGTTGGGATGAAG